TGTTCAGCGGAAAGGCTTTACATGTGTATGTTAACGTAACATAACAAAATATAACATTTGGCGTAATATCTTAAATGCAGATCACTGGTAATTCAGGTCCTTCTTTTGCTTTTAAAGATGTAAACAGGACTGTTCTATTTAATTTGTCTTGGAAAGAGAGGAAATTATGATTTAAGGAAAATAGTGCTATTACAATATTGCTGCGCGTGGAATTTCTCCTTTTTGATGGGTGCATTTATGGATATTATTCCTAGATTTTTGCATATACGGTTGAAAATCAGCGAAATATTATGGAAGAACCAGGTATTTAGTTGTAAAAAAGAGTACATTGTTTGGATTCCTAGATCTCTGTTTAATTAGGAACTACGCACAAACCAGAGAACAATATTATTTTTCTAAGTTCCGTATTTTGAAAAGTTTGGAGAATTTTAATGTTAGTTAAAGAAACCTTAGATCAAATGCGACAGGCGTGGTTGAGAGTTGAATAATTTTATTTATTGTAGCAGCACTGAATTTATTAATTTGAATGTAGAGTTTTAGTTTAGCAGAGGGTATAGGTGTAGGAGTTTTCCTTCGGATTTCTGTTTTGCTTGGTTAATATAGTGCTTCCATACATTTGTGTGTTTCAGGAAACGATCAAGTCACACACCAAGATACTTGACAGGTTGTGTGAGAGATTGCGAAGGTAAGGGTGTATTATTTATAAGGGATAACCGTGGGGGGACGGCGGGAAAGTCGGCAACTCTATTGCGGACACGACGTCATCCCGTCCTCCCGGAAGCCTTTGTTCGCTCTCGCAACGCGTTGTTTTGACGCTCCTGGTGTCCGCACTCGAGTCACAGACACAACGCAGAACGTGCTGGCGGAGCGCTCGCCCGCCAACCATGCACCGCACGGTTGCGCTCGCTGCCGTCAAGAGCTGACAGTCGCCGCGCCCCGCCAGCCCCACCCCTCCCGCCGCCACGTCCCCTTCCACAGGCAAAGAGCGCGACTGCCCTCCGGCCTCTCGTCCGGTCGCTCTCGCGCTCGTCCGTCGGTATTGGCGATTAATATTTAAATCATGCATATCGTCCCCTGACCGCTTTTTTCGCCATTTTTTATTCATATTCACTTGTTTCCCGTGAAAAAATAAAGCTCTTTATAAAATATGCACCCGTGTTTATTGAGGTAATTACCATTGATTTGCGTTCTTCACTTGAGGGACGCGACGCGACGCGACCCGACCCGCCACGTGGGGAGGGGCTGCAATGCGATGGCGGATGCTGACGCCGGGTGCAACCCCATCCGGGCTCACGAGGCGCTTTGCTACTCGCCACCTCCGCTTTCGTTGACTGCGCTACCGCCTCACTTGCCTAAGAGTTTTCGCCGCATCTATGTATTGACTGGTGTTGGCAATTTCAAAGTGAAATAGTTCTAAGAAACCCAATTGTCCAGGAAGGGAAAATAATCGAGTCTCGTAGTTCAAGATAGAATTCAACGGATTTCCGGTTCCTCTTATGTTGAACTTTTTACATAGGAGAAACGTCATATTTGAACATAATATTTGGCAACATGATGGGGAAGCTTCTTAAGGATATATTGATACGAAACTCTAGAAAACCTCCCTTGGATTGAACGTGATTGCAACTTCTATTTCGAATTTGATAGACGTCCAGTCTAGTCACAATTCGGTCTTCTACTCGAACATCATTTTCGCCATTATGAGAATAATTTTATCGACTCAATGCATTTCTTTGACCTCTATCGTCGGGAAAAAAATATTTTTTTCTCGCCAAATTACTATTCCCATATAAATATCGTCAACAATCTCTTCTATATCTTCCGATTCCAAACGTCATGTTCCTCACAGCCCACATCGCGCAGGGCCATCGCCAGCAACCACCGCGTCCTCGACCCGCCCTCCCCTCACGCTTTCAGTAGGGGCTGGCTAGAGCCCGACGCGCGGTGCTCGTTTTTCCCGGTTTGCTCCGCGGATCTGCCAAACGCGAGCTTAGTTTATGAAGGCCGGCGCCCGGCAGGCGGCCAGCGCACTTCATCGCCTCCTGCGCGTGTCACGCTCGCCACGGGCATTTCCGCTTCCGTTGCTGAAACAATAGCGCAGCGCGTCGGACGCAAACTACCCGCAAATCTCCCGGACGCGGGTCATGCGGGTCCAAATTTCTGCTTCTAGCGCGCGACCTAATGCGTTCTAATCCACGTCACCTGAATCCGAAATAAGAACCTCTCGGAACACGTAGCAGAATAATGACATTGTGCATCAAGAAGCAAAATATTAGCTCTGTGGAAAAGTCTAGTCTATGCACTGTACAGGAATGGAAGAAAAAGCCAAAACAACAAGAAGATGCACGCATAATTTCATCTTATTCATTATAGAGTGCATACATTACAGGTTCCTACTACTCACTAGTGAAAGTAGGAATGATGTTATTTCTCCTTGAAATTTCCTCTATTTACTTACCACACAATTTAATTGTTATTTTTTAAAAAAATGTTCTTATTTATAACATTAAACGATTTAGTTTAGAAAGAAGTTTTAACTTCCACCATATTTTTTCATTAAATGAAGTGTAGTGAGACCCAGATGTGTTATTGACATATTTTTTACTAAAAACAATAAATTTTAATAATATTTTGAACTCAATAGAATGGCTACTTGTGCTGTTATTGGGTAATTATTTCATTGTAAGAGTTGTAGTCATCTACTGAAGGCTGTCCACATTTCTACGGAAACATGCGAATGTAACGGTGTAGTGATCGAAGATTTTCAAGCTCGAAGAGTGTATTTAAATAAAAAGGTTAGGGAGGGCCTATAAATGCAACGTCCCACAATCGTCTGGCACAAGAGTCACTTCATAAAAATCAGTGAATATAGATGTATGTGATAATAATAACTAATTATGTGTAATTATACAATATAATTATAATTAATTATGATAATAAATGTGGTTATAATTATACATTAAAATTACTACTTTTTACTTTAAGGTGAATAGTAGACTTGTTGCTGTGATTAGTTCCCTACAAAACACATGTACAGATCTTGGTAAATAAACATTTCAACAACATTTTCAAAAAAACATGTTTACTTCGATGTTCACAATCAGTAATGATTGTATTTGTAAGTCTGGCTCATATTATTGGTTTTCACGAACAAGTACTAGACGACATAGATTATTTTTTGGTATTTTCTATTTTCCATTTAATGAATATGTAGTATTCCTGTAACTTTCCTTCTGCTCTTCCTTTTGTTTAATATTATTACGAGGGTTGAGCTACCAAAATATTACTTTCTGTGGCGCTTTGCATAATTAATCATGGCAATACAGTATACATCTGTTTTTGATATAGTAAATAAGAAAAGCATTATGTGTTTTTATATAGTACTCCATTTGATATAAGTACCCTGATCGTTACTTTATAAACGTACGTAACTATCTTCCCAATTGTGTTTTAAAGCCTTAAATAAGAGTTAAGAATCTAAAGGATTAGAACAATCCAACCGAGCGTTCTAGGGATTAAACCTGGAGAGTAATTCTTCACAAGTTTTGGAGACTACAGTCTGCAACAACGGACTGCATCAGTGATTCTTCTATTGTTTTGGCGAGTGTTAAATGAGCAATGTAAAATTATATATCCTCACTTCTCTCCCATTTCGATATTCGAAATGAATGACAAATCTGTCCTGGTTCCTCACATCCATTGCTACATTGGTATACATCCAGTGATACATAACGTCTATCTAAGGATCAAAATAACAGGGCTATCTCGAGATTCATGTTTCCCTTAATCTAGAGACGCCTCTCCAGACTGAAAGAGGCAAACATTTACTTAAAAGAAAGGCCACTCACTTGCCACTATCATCATACCGCCAGCATCCGAAATTCGAACCCTCCGCCGTGCATTGCGAGCGGAATCACTGTGTTAAGATGAATCATGTACGTATGCTAAACGATAATGATTTTTACTTTGCCGCTTTTGTTGCTGTGCGAAGGCACTTTTTACGCTGGCCGAGGGGTGGAAGTCGGGGGCGGGGGCGCGCTGACGGCGAGCGGCCGCGCGGCCGCTGGGGGCGGCGGAGCTCGTAAAAATGTCGCGCCCTCGGGATTTGTCGGGGCGCGCGGTGGCGGCAGCAGCGCCGGTCGCCGCGACCCTCCCGCGGAGATTTAACGCCGCCGCGCCGGGTCGGGTCGGGGGCGGTGCCACGGATACAGCGCTGATGCGACAGCGCCGCCGCAGTTGGCCCGTTCGAACACCCTCCACCCCCTCTCCCCGCCACCCCTGTTCCACCCTCACTCCCGCCCCCGCTTCCTTGGTCGCCCCAACTGCCCTTGCCGCGCTCGGTGTCCATGACCTCTCCCTCCTTCCCGCCTCCCTCGTCGCCACCACCACCCCGCCGCCGCGCGACAAGTCCCGCGATGCCCCGTGGAACGACCGTGCCGCGAGCTGGGACGTGGCGGAATTAGTCCGACGTTGGCCATGCTTGCTCGTGAGCCGCACAGATTGTTCTGCGTGTTTTAGAAGACTTTTACAGAGGAGAACATATCAGGTACTTCAGTACGGTTCAGTCCGTACTTGCTGAGTCTAATTGCCGTGCGGGATCCGTATTGATAAATCTGGTTTTAAAATTTTAACAAATTAAAGGATTCAAGAAGCTTATGAGATGTCACTCTCCTTATAGTCTGAAATGGATCCATTCGTGTAAAATTCCTTACAGACCTGTTTCAAGGGTACTTTTTTTCATTACACAGAATACTCAAACCCCTACCAAAACCAGCACCGTACGCCCCATATGATGTCAAACAAGATTAAACGGTTGTGCAAAAGCTTAATAATAACGCACAAAACACTATTTTCTTGCAAGAAATAGTGTAGAGATTCGTTTCCCAGCCCTGTTGTACTCGGGTCCAACTAGAATCTATTTCGTTCAGCGGTGCTATTGTTATGTACGTGTTGCCTGTCCTTATATTTCTAAGGTCGTTAGACAAGCAAAATTGTGACCGTCACCGTTGGGTCATTGGGCTGACCAAAGCTGGCGTCGCGTTCCTTTTACCCGCTGGAGATCGGGCAGATGGTGAGGCGAACGGCTTAAATGACGACGGTGGCACGGTGAAGCTACCGTCCACATGAACTTTTTTGATAATTGCGACTTAATTAAGCCGCAAATAATTGCAGGTATCATACTGCACACTTCGTAATATTACGAACTGTATTAGATCAAATGAAAAAATAGCTGTTTCGCAGGTGGAAAAGGAGTTCAAGAAACCGTGTTTTGCGGGCAAACGTGTTGAAAGTATTTTATATGCACGCAAGGATGTGTGGTATATGGTTGGAACTTTCGTTCATTGTCAGGTAGGGCCAATGATTGGAGTAAAGTGGTGCAGGTAGCCTGAACATGTATTTAACTTTTTTCATTCATTTTTTTATTAAAAGATACTTTTTCCACGAAAAAATTGTCTTTAGAAAGATGGCTTTTCCAATTTAATATTTTTGCAAAATGTGTACTATTTCGTGGGGATCATTTTTGGAAGTAAAAGGAATGAGAAGTACTTTAGTGCTTTTTAAAACATAAAGGAATATGTGCAGTTAAAAAATATACGATCTTCGAATGTTAACTTGAATAAGTTAAAATTATGATTTATTAACAAGAAAGTACATTTTAAGCTAAATGAAACACAACTAGTGAGAATATTTGTATTTCTATCGACGTGGATGAGCAAAAACTGATGGCAGGCATATTGCATATATGTCGTGTAAACGGATCCTTGAGAACCAGTGGCAAAATAAGCATGCAAAAGAGAGTTCGGGTTTATTTGTTGCTATGTTGTATAAATGTCGAAACCGAATGTGGAAATTTGCTTAGTATTTAAACAAACCTGCAGCATAAAAATGAATCATACTTTCCGTGATAAATAAATCATAAATTTGTCGACGTAATTTAACCCTTAAGCATGTAATCTTTATTACTTGAAAGTCTCACAAGCCAAGAACGTGGAAGTACGAGAACAATTTGTAGTCTCATACATTCTTTTTCTAAGAATTTGTGGAAGTATAGCAGTTAGTAGTACGGCGGCTGCACTTGCTGTAGCTGCGGCTGCAGCTGTGGCTGCACTTGGGGCAGCGGCTGCGCTTGTAGCTGCGGCTGCAGCTGTGTCTGCATCTGCAGCTGTGGCTGCATCTGTAGTTGTGGCTGCATCTGCAGCTGTGGCTGCACTTGGAACTGCGGCTGCACTTGCAGCTGTGGCAGCGGCGGCGCGTGGCCCAGGGGCCTGTAGAGCGACGAGCGCATCTCCATGACGAGGACGCCGTCCGCCGGAGCCCCAGGGCCAACCGCCAACGGGGGCACCTCCATCTGCAACAGACGAAAGTCCTTCACACGCCCTCGGTGCTTACGACTACTGACTCGGGAGGAATTACCCACTTGTTTGTTTTGTAAGAATAATCTCATGTTTGTTTGAGGCGTGATCGATTCCACAGCATTCTCGATAGGTCTGATGGTCATAGGGTGAGCTCAGAGAGACCCTCGTAGGGGGGGCTGGCAATGCTATTTTCTTGACACATTCATTTGCTTGGAGAGGATTCATGTGGCGAAATGTGCATTTGAATTTATAAGTAGTTCTAGGAGGACACATTGATCTCTTAATAGGTAATATTGTGGATCGTAATGGACCAAGAAAATAGTAGGCAAAGAGGCATTCACGTTCTCGAGGATGCCGCTGTTGTGGTCGGAGCTATCTGGGCGAGCCAGCATTGTCAACCTGTGCGTCAAATTCTGTGGGTTGATTAAATGATTAGTGATTGCTAGTCATTTGGTCCTGTAAGTGTAGTGCATGTTTTATTGCTAGAGGTGGCTGTGATCTACTTCCGGTCGACAACCTGATCCGGCGCCGCCCTATCCGGCGGCTTGTGGATTGTTTCCCCAACAAGATATCTCCTACGATTGGGGCACCGCTCCAGCCGGGACAAACCCTTAAACTCCCGACTTATGTCCCAGCACTTGTGGTAGTGTAGTGCGTGCAAGTCTAAGTGTGTATACGTAAGGGGATAGGATAGGACGAGGAAGAGGAAGGAAAGGTCGCTTGCAGTCCGTGGCCCGTTTGTTACAGTACTGCTCCGGCATTCTCCTGGTGTTGACCGGAGAAACCAAGGAAAACTATCGTTCAGGGTAGCCGGCTGCTAGAATTCTCTTCCAGACAGCGGCGGAATGCGATTTAGTTATGTGTCGAAAATCCACCCCGATTGGACACAATCCCTAGGTCTTCCCGGTGAGAATCGCATCAATGCTGAGTCCGAGCTAATCGCAGCCGGTGATTCTACTTGTCTTTGTCGCCACGTCCGACTGGCAACTCGAAAGAAAGTGGCGTGGGTGGGGTGGGGTGGCGGGCGCTCACCGTCAGCTGGTAGCCGTGGTCGCTGCGTAGGCGGAAGGCGCCGACGCGGCGCTGGGCGAAGGGCGTGGGTGCCAGGGCGCCGCCGCCCACGAGCGCCGGCGCCAGCGGCCTGGGGGCGGACGTCTCCCACTCGCTCACCGGCAACGCCTGCAAGGCCCACAAGAATCACCTTTACCAATTTTTTGTTTGGTTGGTTGTTCACGTACTAAATACGAGTACGTAAAAGTTATTAACTGTTTAATGAACGAGAAACAAAATCTATGATATAATACAAATTTTAAAAAATGCTAATGGTTTTTTTACAGCTAAAATTATAGTCGAAGGTTATTTTATACTCTATTGCTTATATTTTATTTGTTATTTAAATAATAAAGTTGTAAGCTGCGATGGTTGTGCTTTTATTTTAATATTGAGTTTGGTTATATTATTTTCAATACGTAACCTCAAGATTGCTCAAGCTTAGGGTTCCTTAAGCATCCTGTCGCGTGATTTTCCGTTTCCTGAAGAACACCTGAGGGAGGGTGGGGTCAACGTGGGATCGCAGAAAAAGTTGCAAAATAATTCACGGTAAATTGTGTATGTATAAGAACTAATGCTTCAGGTATTTAGCAATATGAACTCATTTTCTGCAAGTTGTTTTTTATAGCATTAGTTTTATGGCATAGTAGCATTGCACATTTTGTGCCGTTGTGGTCCTATCCGCGGGGAGGCAGATGGCATTTTCTTTTTTTAAGAACTTGTTCCATACTTAGAGAGTTAACTCCTTACTTAAACAAAAATATAGGAATAAAAACAACGCTGGAAATCCATTGTTCTCCTACTTCCACATTGGTCCGCGATTAGTATATAATGTGTGCGGCTCCAAATCACCTGGCTGCAACAGTCACGCTTCGCCGCTGTCGCCGCCGCCACCCCTTCCCCTGCCCCCCCCTTCGGCTGTGCGTCGTCAGACCTTCCTCGCCACTCCGCGATGGGGCGCCGCTTCGACGAAACGCCGCAGGGGAGGGCCGTGGGGAGGGTTTCCTGTACGGATTCGCGGAGCGCGCTGGTATGATTGCTATTGGTGGTTGTGATGATGGACGGTAGAATAAGGGCAAAGCAAGAGTGAAAAATAGGGAGGTCTCCACGAAGATTTGTCTCTGAGGTAAGTGCACCACAACATTGTACCCTGCACTACCTAGATAATTCGATTAACCTGATAAAAACATATTAATAATATCATGGGAAGTGTAATACATTGGATGATTTGTACTTCCATTCTAAGATCAGGATTTGGTAATGAATGGCACGTCATAATATGCTTGTCACCTATTCGTTTCTGAGATCTGTTATAATGGAAAACATTCACATCGGATGATGGAGTCTTGTTAGATACAGATATTTCATTATTAATGTTTACTTTCCAACCCCTAAAGGATGGAAAGAACGATAATGCATTTCTTTGATTCTCAAGACGCGGAAACGCGGCAACCCTATATGCCTACATTGGAAAATTTGATAGGCGAATACAAATTCGTCAATTCGAAATGCATTTTTTTGTATTGGTATTGTTGAAATTGATAGGATTGTGATTCTCGGATATTATGTGGCGATTCTGAAAAAAAGTTATGGATAAGATTAAATTCCGATTACATAAATTTCAATTTGTCAAGAAGGAGTGAATTTCTTTTAATTTATTTTTGTCGTTAATGCTACAAACTTACGCCTCATTTATTATGCGTACGTCCTTCCTTGTTTAGTTTTAGGACTATCCACTAAATTCTATCATCTAATGAACGTTCTATCCTGATTCATTTCAAGGGAAGTGAAGATTAGGAGGTGAATTTGGACGGACTAATTTTCCCATTAACTATCCCACTTGATTTCCCATTTCACTATCATGAATATGTATATATGGTTTGAGAAAACATACAGTTGAGACATTTCAGATATAAAAAAATACTATTGCCTACTCTTCACTTACACGAACAAATGCTTCTAATATAATTTTATGGAGAAACGCATCGTTTCTATGCAACAGTTTCTTCGCGATTTCTTTTTCTAGTACAAGGTTCAGAAGGTTGTCCAGGTACAAGGTACAAGGGTAAGGAGCGTCAAAACTCTGAGGGTATTTCTACGTATTCCCGTAGGAAAAAAAATACATTCGAAGAAAAATAAAAATTTGGAAATTGCCGGAATAGGAGTGGAAATTACGGCAGTCTTTTATCGCGCGCGGACCGGATCGGATTTTATACCATCGGAACCTTATCCCGGGAGCCGGTCCTCAGCACTGCAGTGCACTGACTGTTCACAAAACAGCTCATAAAGTTGCGATAATAGACAGGTTGAGACGAAATCGAAAAACTACAAAAATCAAACACCTTTCTGTTGGAATCTATGCGCCTGAGGCCACAACTGTGATTAAAAGTTAAAATTTCTAATGAATGTTTACCGATTAAAAATATTATTAAATGTCTTATAAAAATCGTCACATCTTAGATACTCAATGCATTATATCATGTATAGTAATAGATTGATAACGCAAGGTATCAAACACGCAATTTACTTGCACTTTGGCAAACATCGAGCTAGATGTGCACCCTGCTTGTGTATGGAGAGTTCGAAATACCTTCTGTCTGTGGCTACGGTAGAACTTTTCAGTGAATTTATTCGCCTGTACAAACGATCAAATGCCTTTGCGTCAGCATCGAGCCCATCATTTTCCTGAAACACATTTAGGTTTTCATGCGGAATGTTCATTATCTCTATGCTTTGCTTACAAAAAACGCTTGCGGATGTTTGTGTAGAAGCAAAGGTTTAAACACAAAATTTTGTGATTATTCAGGATTCCGAAAAATACTCTTGAGACAGAAATATGAGAAATTGCTGGGAGTTGTTATAATTAGTTTATTTAAGCATTTTGACTTTGTCACCATATAGTGGTTATTATTAGAAAATGTAACTGTGGAAAAATTCATGTTTTACCTTGATGACCATAATCGAAAACGGAAAAAGAATTATAAAAATTTTGAAAATAATTATTAACGGAGGAACATATATTTTAGATAAAGTCACCAGTAGTGGCCACTTCAAGCGCAAAATTAAGACACAAAACTAAGAATTGAAGAATTGGAGATTTCTCACTTGCTTCTACTTATAGAACGTAGAGCCTTCACTTCTAGTGTCAGTGTGTTGAACGAAGATATTTTTCTCCCTTCTGTTATTGTATAAAAATGAGTTTAAAGCATCTGGTTAATATTATCAAAGCAATAATGTCGACTGGTATTTTTTGCAGTTAAGGGACTCAAACACATTCAGGGAGTGGCTTATCGAGTGGTCATTAGTGAGCCAAGTATCTGATTATCGCCAAAATTATAACATTTTCAGGTTGCCACTAGGATATTTAAATATAAATAAATTAAGTAGTGGTACTAAATTGCACATACCTTCCCTATTATTCGTAACGATAACGTAATATTTAGTATGTTGCACTTTCTATCCTAAACCTTCACGCCTTCACTTGAAAAGGAAATGATATATTAATTCAAAAGTATATTAATGTTATTTTAAAAAGTGCCACAAAAAATAACAAACCAGCTTCAGGGGTGGTAATCAACGTTGCACGCGCCGGTACTACGAATCAATGCTCGAAATATTTCGTTTGGTATGTTTCGCTGCTGCTACCTTCTCCATTTGAAGCTAATACAAATGAAAATACTGAAAACTAAACATCATTTTTATAAAGTTGCAAATATTCCCTTAGATCTGCTCGTTTAACACGTAAATCACGTCATTATTCTTTCTAAACAATTTCATCTGTTTAAATAAAATGGTTTTCCGATATTGAATTGAGAATAGTGTGCTCTATTCTTACAAAACCTTGAAGTTCTTTAAAGAAAAAGCTAGTCGAAGCGGCAAAGTGTTTCCAATATGCCAAACTGTTTGGGAGGTGTGGGGCACGAATCTATAGTAGGCACCAAGATTTGTCAACGGCGTCCTTGTCAATGCTCCAGGGAAAGGATATCTGGAAATTGAGCCTTGTACTTGGTTGGTACTAGTATGATTCGCTTTTACGTTTTTGTAAATTCGAAAATTTTTTAAAACTACTCGTTTCTGTAGTTTTGAATGAAAATGATTGTGTGCTTGATGTGCCGTTTAGGTACTAGTGTTGTTCACACATCGACGGATTGGTGAAGACCACTCTTTCGGCGTCAAGGCCCACCAAACATAGATTCTGACATCACATACTAGAGACAGTAACTTACTATATATACGAGGAGCAAGAAAAATCAAATTTTTAGACATTAGGGACCAACAAAGCGGGTTTTTCTGTAGAAAACTTTACTTTTCGCTGGAGCTTTACATACTTTCTCTATACTATGAATGTAGTACACAAGAAATTAAAAACAAAACAAATAGAATATTGGCCACAGGAATGCTAACCATTGAGTTTCACATAACGAATTTAAATTCTACATGTCAACATTTAAGAAATCAACAAAAATGTTCTTAACTGTTGTCACTAATCTTTTGCTGTAGAAGTCACTATCCGCTGTCTTTTATCCTATAGCAAATTAAACAAAATATGTCTTCATGATAGTAATTTCTAGTTAATAGTTACATTCACGATAGTTAATTTATCATAGGAATGTATAAATTCATTCGGTAATAAAATATGGATGGTTATAAAGAACATTGTTATGATCTACCAAAGTTTACATATTTTTGTAATGTGTGTTCCTTACAAGGGATAAGAATATTATATTGCAAAGAACGGCGAATAGCTTACCTTGTAACTAGAGGAAAGAGGTGGATTGTATGGCATTGGCATTATCTGCCCCCAAAACACTGGTCTATTGAGTTCAACGATATTGGCTGGTTGAACAGAGGGTGTTTGTGGGAAGGCAGAAAGTGGAAACGACTGAATGGGACCTTGTATTTCAGCTGCTCGGCCGGAAATAGGGGTCCAACCTGTGAACATGTAACATTAGTTAAATATTGGAAAGATGATCACTTGTCTCGGGCGTAGTTGAAAAATCAATATACACAAGTTAATATTTTAAGCTACTATTATGAAATGACACAAGAAAACACGAAACATGCATTCCTCATTCTGCAACTTAAATATTGTTAAACAAACGCAAGTAATAATGCGGTTGCACGAGTAAAACCTTGTTGAGACTAACGCCATATTATCTCCTTGAGTTTTTTCGTACATACGTAACACATGACGAGCAGATGTACCCTTGGGAGAAACTTGTAACCCAGAACATTTAACCTCTACTAATCTAAAGTACAGTGGAATATGGGATGTGTGGGAAATATGAGTAAGGTTAAATGCATTGTGAACCTCCAGCTGCAGTTTTACTCCGCGTTTGGTACTACAAGATTGGACAGTGGCCTCCCTTGAGAGTTTGTTACTATGCGAATCAGTTTTCTAATGATTTCTGCCAGTATATATATATATATATATATATATATATATATATATATAAGAGAGTCAAGGTTTATTCTTGAAAATGCGATAAATTAGGAAAAAAATAGAGTAGGACAATAAACAAAATTAGTCACATGGTCCCTTTATTGTATTTTAGTTTGTAGTGTTTTAGCAGGAGCCGAATGCCACTGCCCTATATGGGAAACAAGCGAACCAAGCGAGCCGCTGTTTTCCTCCTTCCCTTCTTAGTGCAATTAAACTTTCGTTCACGTTTACTGACACTGCATAATAGTACTTCAAGCAGTTTTCTACATTCTCACTACTTATGACTGCATGTTTTCTTATTTCACATTCAACGACGTCACTTATTCTGCTGAGGTTTGAGAGCTGAATTCGGGAAGCCTCTCCCATCGTTCTGAACTTGAAGAGGCGAGCGTGATTCCGAAAAGCATCTCGATGAGTGCACTGGGGTGGGCGATGAGTACTACAGAGAAATAGTCTCTGAGGAGCGCTTTCCTCCCTGACAACGGTTCAGAGCAACCGCCCTTAGGCTGCCATGCACCAGGGTAGTTCAAGGAAGCGTAGGTAGCCTCGGAAGTTCCTACGACTGGATTAGTGTTCTTTGGTAATAACGTGAAACCGGAAAATCTGCACTCAAAACATACAGTACTTGAAGTTCCTTAATATTGCAAATGTTAAAAATATATTACGTGTATTTATAGAAATGCAAATCTTGCTTCCTCAGTAAATCCTACAAATACTAACCGGGTCACCTGCGTGTGTCCTTACTAACGGTTGGATATATGCCGATCTTCCATCTGAGGCACGTTGAAGTGTCAGAAAACCTTCTTTGGTCCGTACGGGGGGGGGGGGGGAGAGAAGACTCACTATTTATTTCCAAATATTTCGAGAACATACTCTTAGATTTCTCGGAAAAGCACGTATTATGGAGAGAGGAGGTAAAGTAATATAAAAAAGATTTTGTATAATAGTTTGTCTATTTAATTTAAACGTTAAACAACTATCAAAATGCTACGGTAGTGTGTTTGTGTGTTTGCTTGTGTGTGAGCGTGTGTTCGATAAGTATACGCACACATATCAAAATCGACGGATAGATTCAAACCTATTTCCAATCTCAATGTGTGAAAATTTAGGAAGACGTTCGCAACCTGAGTCTCACTTGATGTACTAAAACGCAACTGTCACCGTGCTCGATACTCGGATTGACAAGGAATCTTACCAGTTTGCTCAGTAACTTTCAAAAGTCATAAATGTAAATTTTTAAGTGATATGAAGCTGTGTTTTTGTGACAACTGGTATTCAGACCTTTCATGACCTTACTGCCTCTCGAAGTGCAGCAATCGCTGCCCGCAGCCGGTCCTTCGGCCGCTACTCGTACGCCGCGCCGCCGCTATCAGCCTGGCAGTTGGCAAGGTATCAGTTGCTTCGAGGGGGGAGGGCATGTCGGGTGACTAAAAAACGTGTGTTTACTTGAAAAATTCGAAAAGACGAAGAGGTCGAACTCTTGCACGAATAATGTAAATACAATCATTGCAAAGATATGAAGCCCTGAAAAAGTTATCTCAAATTTAAATAAATAAATAAATAAAATTAAATAAATAAATAAAATTAAATAAATAAATAAAATTAAATAAATAAATTTAATTTTTGCGTTAGATATGTTATTATGAAAATTTAGTTTCTAACGCAAAAATTAAGTTTATTTATTTATTTAAATTCGGAAATTTATTAATTTCTTGTTCAGTTTTCTTGAAAATGGCTTGGTTTCCTAAAACCTAACAGACTTCTGTAGAGTGACCATGAACGCCTGTCACTGTACATTTCAATCAGAAAAGCGACCAGCGGATATGGCCTTTGCCGTCTGTGGTGAAAGAACAAACGCAGAAGTAATTCTGACACCGGTTGACAGACGTCGCGTAACGTTTTGGTGTTGCCGATGCAGTTCGCCCCTGGAATGCGTGGGTCAGAAAATCTAACAAATTACTTTTTGATCTTTTGAGACTTAACAAATTCATAGTTTTCAAACTAATATTGTCAACAGTGATTTATAATTGTGGATGTTTTTAACTTATGGTACACCATTAAAACTAAAGGAACAAGAGGTGTAGTCCTAGATTCTTGTGAAGAATCGAGTCCGAGATAGAAGTCACGGGTAGTGTGCAGAGGATGAAAGTCCCCGCGTGAACGTGAAATGCCGAGGGGCGCGTCTCACCTGGTGTGGACTCACCGGGCGAACCGAAGTTGAAAGCCGAGGGCGCTGCACCGGGGGCGGGGTTGGGCACCCCGATTGCCACGCCCACCTCCATGTCTCGCCCGTCGGCGCTCTGCCTCGCCGTCCACTGGCCATCGGGGCGGGCGGCCAGCCACGGGCCCCAGGGGTTGTCGGGGGCGGGGGCGGGCGCGAGGGCGGACCAGGCGTCGGAGCGCGCCCCGGCGGCGGCCACGCACGCTGCGGCGGCGGCGCAGGCGAGCAGCAGGGTGGCGCTCATGACGGCGACTGCCAGCGGGCGGCCGCCGGAGACTATGCCGGCCCCGGCCCCGGTCCCAGCACCTGTCGCGGATCGCGACACATCTGCGCCCATCACGGCGCGTCCCAGGGCTGTACAAAGGCCACGGCGAGAGCTCTTCTGAAGACATCTGTGCTCGAGACAAATGAAGGAAAACGGATTTACTCTGCTTAAACACTGTTTTGGAAACTATCATTATGAAATATGTATTCGCAAAAATACCCTTTTATTAAACATGTATTAACTTCACTAAAAACGAGCTTGTAATGTCACCGACGATATGTGATTCTGATTTCTTGTCAACACACATTAAGGCTCTCTTCTTCTATCGTAATGCGAACGAGAGAGAATCATCTCACTTCCTCGAGAACATGGCAATCAGTACGGATCTGCGAGTGAACTGTATTTATAACCAACTTTTAAGGCACAGGGAAGCTTCGCTACGCGTGACCCATTTCATGACGAGGCTACGGCTTTAGGCCTACGCGGTTAACTTGTAACATAATTGAGTTAACCCAACGCAAAAATTTCAAATACATTTTCTGCTCAAATACTTTCTTAATTAATTGAAACAAGCCATTTTCATTAGAACTTCGAATCAGAATGCCTTCGTTCCCACCGTTTCTTATTAGCTATCATTCATCAATATTGCAACGTCCATCGGAGTCAACTTGTTACTACAAGGCCACCACATTACAATACCTTAAAGTGGTACGATCTAATATCAGGAATGATTTATGCACATGTGTTTTAATGGGGAAGGAAATGAACTGGGTGAGATAATTGTAAGATTGTCGGAAAATGCTATATTTTTTCTTTTCATTTTGAATGGGGACTTTTTATAGGGGATTTTAGCAAAATATCTCCAACACTAGAAGAGAACCATTTTAGTGACAATTGAAAACAAGTACAGGCAAAGAATACATACCTCTGATTTGTAGTATGTGGTCTACGATTTGAATTAATTCTTATCAATACTCTATTTTAATTTTTTATTTATTTATAATATTTCTTTATTTTAAATATTTGACACTTTGAGCCAAATTTTAATCAAAATTCAATTTGTAATATGTTTTCAGTATTGAAATTTTAAATTTAATATTTTTAATTGAGGTACCAAAAATATAGATAATTTATGTCAGAAATTCATTTTAAAATTTTGGGAATATTGCATGGTGCTTGTTCTGGGTAAGTAGCAGAAGTGTATGAGCGGCCGTCGCCGGCGTTCCTTACACTACGGCGTGTGGCCACTTGCGACCTGCGCGACCCCGCGGCTTAACGCGCCCGCGCACCTGCGGAGGACGCCGCCTCCGCATGTACTACGATGCACTGCGCAAGGGATTATCAAGGCTCTCGGATGCAGGGAACGAGCGGGGAAACGGGAATTCTTTGCACAAATGCAGGAAGAAAGATAAATGGAATACGTGTGGGGTGGGATGTGTAGGTGAATGTTATTGAAAAAGTAAGTGTTTAGCGTTGGAGTCAAGTTAATCCGTATCTGTATTTTCACGTAAAATGCGTTGTAAATTTTGCGTTTTCTGGACTAGAGAATGAAAGTCGGGGCCTCATTGTTGACTAACTTGCACCAACCACCTTATCATGTACGACGTTTAGAATCACCTCCATTTATACAACTCACCCCATTCGCGTTACCTGTTTGTCAAAAATGCATATGGGAATAAGAACGTCTTCAGAAAAGTCTAATTGAATGTATACAATATTTCAGACATTGCTATCGAATAGTTTTTCTAACATTTCTATTCTACATAATAGTTAAGACATTCCCTATCCATCTCATGTTACATTATTTGATAACTGCTATGAACTGAATGATATATATTGTATGAACTTTAACTACTTTTTCACATCAGTTGTAACCAATCGCAAATTTGTTAAATTTTCTGAAATTGAAGCCTGTTTTCGGAGGAGAATAATCTCTTAATGCCCTCACGTAAGACTCCCCGTAAGAATCGTTCTCCCCGTATTTATTGTAATAATGTGAGTCGTTTCTACTAAAGTTGCATTTTCTCACACTTACTTTCTTGCAAACTACTTACGTAGTATAGAGGAAGTTGCTGCGGCGATGTTTGCCGAAAAATGACGTATTGTAGGTCCCTGTTACCGAAAAAGTGAATAATTCATGTGGCATGTTGTAAATAACTTCTTTTAACATATATGCATCTGTCTAACCGTCTACGAACAATACTAGCGACTAAACTGTCGGCAAGCTTTTCACCAAAATTGGTATTCCCCGATTGATGTCGTTGATATTGCGGTCTTTTGAATTTAAAATGTACAGTCTATTTTGTTTTTGCAGGAGTACTTTACATGCAGTCCTATCGATATTTTCAAAATTTCCTCGAAAATGGGTCAAATTTTTTTCTTGAAATTGTTGTTCTCATATAGAGCAATGTAACGCTTATTAATATACCAGGTTCGATTCTCAAAAAAAAATTGATAAATGTCCGAAAATTACAAATATAACGTTTTTTAGCGTTATCCTACAACAAAAATATTAAAGGTTAAGATTTTTCTTCTTAACAAAATATATTTACAAAAATAGATCTTAAATGAGGTTCTTTGCTAGTATTCATTCCAAAATATGAATTATTTCCGCGTAATTTTGTATGAAATAGGCAAATTTAACTACAAGATTGTTTTAAAAAACGCTTCCATTTTTTTCTTTTAACTTTTTGAATGGTAAAGCTAAATGCACTGAAAACACGACATAAAAAACTGACAACAACCAACCGCAAACAAAAAAAGAAATATAATGTCATGGGTGTTTTTCGCGATTTAAAAGAAACTGGAGGGTGGTGGCACAAATATGGATGCAGATTCGGATTCACTTTGTCGACATACATCGAGAAACCTATCAAGATTTTGGATCTGACAACTTTTCATATTGTGCGTGCCTGTATTGTTTATCAAACAATGAGACATCTAATGTCGAGGTATATTTTACATTAATTTGTTTCCTACGACTCATCTGCAGCAAGTTCTGAGTTGTAAGTTTGGAGCACAAGCCATTCCTTCAACGAATGTTTCAGTCTCTAACTACGACATAAAGCAATTCCCAATGTTACGAACGAATTCTACGCAACGCAAAAAGTCACTTCAATAACAGAGCTGGTATTAGAGACGGCAAATATTTACGATGGATGATAATAATGAGTATGCATAATTATGGAGCATCGATGGAATAAGCGGTAGAGAAGTAAAAGTAACTCATGAAAATCGGCTGCTTTGCCTCCAAATGTCACCTCTCCGTTTGTGTCACAAAGTGACCAGGATGCGTGTGTTAGTTGCCGGAGATGTCAAGCGAAGGTGCTGACCGCCATGCTCTGAGTGGCACTGTCAAAATAAAATTAAGAAAGAACCGTCAGTCCAATGAGCGCCCAAGTAGGCCGATGAGAAAATGGTCGGGTGAGCGACCGGAAGGGTGAGGGGACGAAGGTGGGCGAAGGAACGAACGGTCGAGTGAGAGACCGAGCAATCGCACTGACGAGTCAGCGAGCAGCAGGCGGACGAGCATTCGGTTCCTGCGCCCCCAGTGGCTGACCTCTCCGCCTCCGGCGTCGCCTCTGCCCCGGAGGCCACGCTGCTGCCGGGGGCGGCGGCGGCCGTCACTACAGCTCTGCACCGCCCCCACCTCTCGCTCCGCCGCTGCCCCCCCTCCGCCTCCGTCGCCGCTGGCCGTTAAACCGGAGAATTTTTACCCGACAGCGAACCACCCGTCACACTCGGGAGCATTTTTCTATTTAAAATCAAATGTCAAGTTGTTTTAGCGCAGCCGTCACGCTTCGGATCGATTGAAGGGCCCGTGCTTCGCTTCGGCCGCCGAATTTTTATGGCACGCTCTCCCAGAGGCGCGCGGCGCAGCGGGGTGGGGAAGGGAGGACAGGAGGGACGGATGTAGGACGCGCTGGTCCCCGCGAACAGGCTGCTGCCAGCCAGAAACGCAAAGATTGAAAGGAGGGGCGGCGACCACCACAGAGATCACGTGAAAGAACTCCCGGGCGGAATTAGACAAGGCGGAAATGTGGTGAGGGTGGTGGGAACAATAGAAGTCGAAAGAGGAGATAAGGATTAGAAGACCATACTTGTCCTGAAAAAGAAGTCTACATGAACTAGTGTGTGTGTTGTGGTTGATAAATAGGTAGACAAATGGATAGTTTTACGGAGTGGGCCACCTGACTTGGTCACTGACTTGATCAGCAAATATCTTCGAAATGTTTTTTCGGAAGATAAAGAGTGTGTCATAGGCTGCGTTAAGGCCCATTCACAATGCAAACATAAGCATAAGCATGACGTTAACATAAAAGTTAGGACTACGTCCATAAGCGGACTCGTCCCTAATGCGTTCGCATAAGCAAAACGCGTAAGACGTTGACTTAAAAGCTTGCAAGCTTCAAACTTCTGGGCTTATGCTGAAGTAAAACATAAAAATTAACCAATCACTGAATGAGAACTCAAATGTGACTCGAGAATCGAAATTGGAGCAAAGTCGGTAAAAGAACTAACGCTAAATGGGCCATGGACACAGTCGATACCTTGAAATCGATTCTCACATCCAACCATATAAATCAGATGTCTCACAGCCAATAGATACTCTCATTTTGCTTAGTTTATGTTAGACATTGTGAATACTTCACTCTAATCACTTATGTTATGTTTATGTATATGCGCTATGCTTTATGTTTACGTTTGCATTATGAATGGGCCTTTATCTCCCTCTGAAAAAAATTGCAATTGAAACGTCATGATTTCTGTAGACAATAAAATTCTATAATGCAAGTAGAGATATGAGAGATTTTTTAAAAACCCTACGTAGTAAAAGTTTCGAGAAAACAAGTTTTAATGAAAATGACACTTATGACAATCAATTTATCTATTCGAACAAAAAGTTTAAAGAAAAAATTGGAGACGATTTTCTGTAAATCTCTTTTATCTTTTCTAAATTGACTATATTCACATGTCATGACATTATTTAAAGATCTAATTTTGAAGAACAGATTTCGTTAAAAATGTAAATTCTCAACCTGTGTTAGTACATTGAAACGACCTAGCTTGTA